GAAATGAGCCGGAAACACCTGTTGTGCCCCAAATAGGAGGTGCTCAAAGAATGATGGGGAAGTGACAAAAAGACACAGGATCCAGCTTGAGTCCTGGCCTAGGGCCATTTTAGCATCAAAATAATGGTAGTAGAAGATGATGACCTATTTCATAAGGCAAGTATAAATATTTCTCTCTTTTCCACATCCAGTGCGGCTAGAGAGCTGGTCCGATTCCTGAGTAGGAGCGACTGGGGATTGTGAAAATAAAAGAGACAGACACAGAGGTGGAAGGAAAAAGCTGGGGCCGGGTGGGACCACTGTCCTCTGATGGAGAGATAGAGACCCAGAGCCAATACAGCGTGTTTATTTTATGCAGCAAAACCCAGGAAGTTTTACTAAAGGTCAAGTCAAAGGAGATTATGTGCATTCTTGGGTGGGCCGGAGTCCTATTCATTCCTGCTGCTTGGCTGGATTTAAATAACAAAACCCACACCCTGGCACCTGGGCTGAAGGTCAAGCTGACAACACTCCTGCCTCTGGCAAGGCGTGTTTCCAGGATGTGGCTCTGCCAAAGCCACTGGATTGAGCTGACAATAATGAAAGAAATGCCCATGTGCCTTCCCAGCGCTCTCTACAGGCAAGACTCCATGAATCTACCTGACGTAAATAAGGTAAAGGAGGGGTTTACCCAACGCTGCAAGGTTGCAGGGGGTTGGTCGGGTACTGCTAATGGAAGCAGGGTTTCTTTTTTGAGTGACAGAAATGTTCATGTATATTGTGATAACTGAACAATTCTGAGTACTAAATATTATTTGTATACTAAAAACCATTGGATTGTGCATTCTTTTTTCCCCCCAAAATATATTTATTTTAGAGAGAGGAAGGGAGAAGGATAAAGAGATAGAAACATCAATTGGCTGCCTCTTGCATGCCCCCTATTGGGGATCGAGGCAAACCCTGGGCATGTGCCCTGAATTGAACTGGTGACCTTTCAGTTCATGGGTCGGTGCCCAACCACTGAGCAACACTGCTGGGTGGATTGTGCACTTTGAACAGTAAAATGTGTGCTTTTAAAATAAAAGGATCTTGGATCCTCACTGGTATAAATACACGATTAGATAAATGAGTGGGCGAGAAGAAAAAATCTAGTGGAATGCCAAATAATAAAATGTAGAAGGAATGATGAGATTAGAAAAATCACCCTTTGGCCACCAATTTAATGGAAATTGATTCAGGCCCGCACAGATCATCAGTGGAAGCTAACACTGGAGAGGGAGATTTGAGAAGGGTATTTCCATAGTTTCAAAGCATCTCCCCACAAGATACTTGTTCATTACAAAGGGTAAAGATAGTAACTTTACGGTGGAGAAAGCAAATGTTCAAAGTGACCAGTGCCAGAGAAGGACACACAGATGGCATGTGCCCCTGACAGGTCACAGACACTCACTCCGCATGGCTCTCACGCGCATCAACGAAAGTGCACCCCCTGAGACTAATCAGAGGAAACATCAGGCAAACATCTGGCCTGGGCACTAAAAACGGCAATGTCTTCAAAACTATTCACCTTAGGCCGCACCTGCGTGGCTTAGTGGTTGAGCATTGAAAAAAGAAAAGAAAAGAAAACAAACAAACAATGTCTTCATACATAGAGTGGGCAGGTGGCAGGGACTTGCTAAATAATGGTGGCTCAGTGTGCCCACCTGTGTCCGAACCTGGCAGTACTACCCTTAACTGGTCAGGTGCTGAGAAAGTCGGGGTGAGGGGTTCTCCG